GTTGCGGCTTGCGGAGAGCAAATGTTGACGGCTCGTTGTAGATTGCAACCGTGAAATCGACAGCCTGCTCTCGCGTAATGGACAGCTGAATATTGATGCGGCAAAGTCAATCTCTAAAAATATAAAAAAAGAGACGCATTTTACAACATGTAAAACCTCCGATCTCCGAAATCATCCATTTGCTTCTTCGCTCACTGCCTCCACTCTCTTCCCTTCTACCCTTCCTCTTCGCTCTCTTTCTCTTCTCTCTCTCTCCTCTCTCTCTCTCTCTCTCTCTTCTCTCGCTACCTTTATTGCGCATTTGGATCTGCGTCTGGCGTGCGTGCGTGCGTGCGTGCGTGCGTCTGTGCGTGCGTGCTTGTGTGCATGCGTGTGCGTGTGCGCGCGTGTGTGTGTATGTGTATGTGTGTATGTGTGTGTGTGTGTGTGTGTGTGTGTGTGTGTGTGTGTGTGTGTGTGTGTGTGTGCGTGTGTGTGTCTGTGTGCACGTGCGTACATGCCTGTGTGCGTGCGTGCGCGCGTGTTCGTACGCATAGGCATATCAGTGGTTCATGCAGCATCATGAAAATAACAGTACAGCCATCAAGTCGATAATGTGCTAATAAAACATTTTGCCAGGTTACATTCGGTGCGCCGTACCATCTGTTGTTTATACGCCGTGGAGCATTGATGACTATTTTTTCAAATGAGAAGTTGAACGATTGTAGACATAATTACAGGACAACATGCATACAAGGCGTCAGTGTTGGTCACCTCCAGCTATTTGCGTGTTTGGGGTGTATGTTATATATATATATATATATATATATATATATATATATATATATATATATATCAAGGTACTGCCGGCCCTATTTATTCTTTGTCAAGAGTATGGATTCCGCACAACATAAATATAAAGGAATTCCTGCGAAAACGTGCGAAACCAATACAGGATTTCGGGGGCATATATATTCGCCGGAACTACGCGTAGAAACAACATCGCCGTTGCGTGTCCACCTCGTCTACATAATTTAAGGATCTATAACACGAGACCTGCGTGCACGGAAACAATACGCAACTAATGTGGGACACGGTCACACCTAACCTGATTGATATAAGCCTATGTCGCTTGTAATGGCGAACAGCGACGATGTCGCTTTGGATTCTGTGACAGGCCTCGCTCAATAATATCTCTCGTATATGTTCAGTGCACCGCCTGTAATTGCGATTAAGCGACGTAAGCATCGTTCACGCTTCTATCCACGATTAATGAACGAGTGATGTTTAATTTAAGCGCCGCGTGACGTATAGCATGGCGCTTTCCTGTCACATTTCCAGCAAAATTGATTCTTTATATACGTATATATATATACATATATATGTATATATATATATATTATATTTATATATAATATATATATATTGTTGTGTGTGTGTGTGTGTGTGTGTGTTGTGTGTGGTGTGTGTGTGTGTGTGTGTGTGTGTGTATGTGTGTGCGTGTGTGCGTGTGTGCGCGTGTGTGCGTGTGTGTGTGTGTGTGTGTGTGCGCGCGCGTGCGCGTGCGCGTGTGCGTGTGCGTGTGTGTGTAATACGACGCCCATGCATGATGGTGACTGCAATTTTCACGAATCACATGATACGCCATTTGGCAAGCCTCAGAATAATCCGTTGCCCTCTTTCATTCACTCGGCTCTATCAGGTAAATCGATTTAAGCCTCGCGCTTTAATCTCTGATGAGACGAAGTTGACCGCATTTCCGATAAAGAATCATAACCCCAATTTACCAGCTCCCTACCTATTTAACATAATTTGGCAATTAGACAGAATCATTGCAAAGCGAAAAGCCTAACATTATTGTTATTATTATTATTATTATTTATAATTTTTATTGACATTTATTCTAAAGTTGTTATTTCTCAGAAGATTATTCAGTTCTGGTATGAACACTTCAAGTAGTTTCGGCTATGGTAGCCTGCATTATACAGTCGAGCTACACGATAAATGGAGGCTATGTGAACGTCAGGAGTAGCATTAAAACATTATCTCTTTATACCTTATATATAATATCTATATATAAGGTATAATATATAATTATATAAAATAATAATATAACGCGCCAGTAATCAAACACTAAGCAGGATATTGAGCGGTATATTGCGATGAAATGTTGTTCGTCTACTACAGACTGTGGTCATATATATATATATATATCATTTAATCGAATAATCGGGAGTGGGCCATCCAAGTCACGTGAGTCCTCGAAGCGATTTGTACTACTCGTGTCATTGTGCGCGAGTTATCCGGGTCATTTTCGTATTGTATGCAATATGATTGACGATGCATAGAAAATGCGCAGCGTCCACTGTGACGCTGGCGGGACTTCCATATTCCATATTTACGTACCAAGCGTAGAACAGCATTGATAATTTACCTAAAGTAAATAAGTAATCTGAATATTTTGTTAAGTACGCTCGTGCGTATAACATGACGTCATATAGATATTTGGTAGTTCTATGGGTCTGAATACAGGTTATAGGCAACTTGTGAAGTGTGCGCGTGTATGTGTGTGTACGCGCATTTGTGTGCGCGTGATACAAAAATGTAGTTCTACAGCTAATTTTCGGAAATATAACGAAAGATGCGCATTGTAGGCAGAAGCATGATAAATATATACTTAAAAGCAATTCGGGGGTCACGTCTTTCGTTACCTCTCTAGTAACTTGACCAATTATCCCAGTCCATGAACCATCATCGTTCTCTACACCGAATTCGTTGTCGGGCGGTTCTATTACTCGGTACCTACGATCGCAAAAAAAGTTGAAATATTTTTATTATTATAATACGTTACGGGAAAAATATGAGTGTATCCATCATACGTGTATATGATATTATGCAAGTAATTATTATACACCAAATGGATTTAATATAATGTCTTCAATATATTAATTATATAGAACACTAATACCCCGTACAGACTGCAAATTTGAAATGGTATTAAACTAGCGGGCGCCAGGCCCGCGCCAAATATTTGCAGTGTGTATACACGCTATCCCGCTCAAAATACTCGCTGGTCCGCTCCAAGTTGGCCCCGCAAATGAAGCAGGGCCAGCCCCGGGCTAACTTAGCCCGGGATAAGATAGCCCGTTGTGTGTGTCTGTACGCAACAAGCGGGCCAGACCGGGTGCTAAATTGCAATACGCATGCGCATATCCTTATTTAGGTCACGTAATTGTACGCTCGCTGTACCTCGCTGTCTGCGGGGTGACGTGGCGAGCTGAGCAGAGACGATAAAAGCAGGATCAAATATGCAGTCTGTACGCTACGATTTAGCGCGCGTCCGGCCCGGGCCTGACGCGCGCTAGTTTAATACCATATCAAATTTTGCAGTCTGTATGGGGTATAAGACGTATTGTTTAATCTGTAATCAACACACAGAGCCCACGTGTTTTCTGTAATGAACGTAGAATGCCTAACGTAGAATATACTGGCTTACAGATGAGACTGAATTTCCCCCAAGTACCTAGAACCGATTTCACGAACAGTAACTATTCACACAGAAACATCAACTAGAAACCTCTTTCTGCAAAATCTGAGTAAATGGGTCTTATTTTTTATTGTGATGTATAGTAATATCATAATATTACTCACGTAAAATTAAGCCTCGCCGCTAGTTCTTGTACTATCTCAAAAACTAGGCCGTCCCACACAATCGTCCCATCGGGTAATTCGCGCTTAAACTGGAATGGCGCATACTGCAAATACCCGAGAGATGCACTTTCGTTACAGCGGTACATGAACTTGTAATATAATAAAATAATTATTAATATCGTAATTTATCTATAAAATAACGGTTTATCTAATATACCTAGCATCCAATATACCCCTAATGCGTTATACTCATTATAGACTGGCAATGTCTGCGTGTGTCACAGTTGCACCATTAACTGCAATAGCTATGTAAATATTACGCAATTGGACATTAGTAGCAATAGCAAAGCTAGTCGTGGTTGTGCAAGTCAAAACAAGGCGTTTACGACTGCATTAAAATAATACGAAGGCATTTCTGCTTTTTATCATAACGTTTTACCGGCGTTGACGATATCAATAGTTGTCTTTGATGGAGGTTGGCGTGGGTGTTCAGGAAGAGGTGATCGTACTCATTTAATCCTTTTGCTTGCGTCCAAGTTGCCACAAGTTGTGTGCGCACCTTGCTAGATTCGTCGTAGAAACCGTGCAGATCAAACTCGGTGTCGTTATCTTCCACGCGCAGCCTTGGTTGAACTAACTATTACACGAAAACGATACTCGTATTTACTTACAGGTTCATTACATGCATGTTTGTTCATCATTCTTACTTTGTCGTGCATCACTGGACACTTGGGTTCTAAATACACTGCACTATTTAAACATAATTATGAAGTTTGGCGGTTAATTGAGTCAGACATTAAATTCCTAACATTTCTTATACGCAGCGCAGTTACCCCTCTCTCTTCATTTTCCTCTTAAGTGAGTCGTCTAATCGATATATTTCGCACAGCTACAGGTTGTGTTTTACTAGCGATTTTGGGTAAATTCAGTACCAATATGGCGACGTAGTATCAAAATATGTCCATGCAAAATAACGGATGAAAACATGTTGGCAAGTACATAGAGTAGCCACAGCTGCACGTAGATGCATTTTCACATATATACCTGTATAGCAATTAAACACTACAGCTACTGTCGCTCCTCTTTCCGCACGCCATTCCATGCTGCGCTGTTGTTACGATTATACATTACGGGCAGATATTACCCTTTTCCTGTCGTCAACATTGTCGAAAATATATTTGCAATAGAGCAGTATTATCCGCTGCCTACCGTGCACACGGATCCAAGCGTTGTCAAATAAATCCATCATGCTACACAAAATGGGTTACCTCGTATGTTTCAATGAATTTCTTCCTGTTTGACGACTGCATGGATGATAGGCAGCTAGCGAAAGGTGGCAATAAAGGTGACATATTTGCGTTGACGATGACGCTGTCTAATGTCAGCGCCACGCTTATAATTGCTGCTTGCATCAACCGCATGTCCAAACGCTGCACAGCTTCGTATGATGAGATCTGTAAGATTATTGGTTAAAAACAACTAACCACAAATAACTCCGTTAGTAGAGTAACCGTAGTGAGCTTATTGGCATTATTTTATTATTAGTACAAGGCTAACGAAATAGAATTCATTCACCTGAATTTAACTGGTCATAGGGCCTATTTATCTGAAGGTAGCACAATCGTTAGGAACCCAACATTTAACAAATTAGAATGATCATGTAGGGCCTACACTAAAAATATCTGATTATATCTCGTATTCGCCTATATACCCAGCATATACATGCGCGTTAGCTGAGGTTATACAAAGTCACCATATTATCGAGTACAATTCCTAATGATATCAACGAATCCGTCACGTAGGCGTCGCTTGCTTCGTATATTCTCAGAGGAAATTTTCTCCGTATTGTGAGGAAGTTGCCTTCCTTGATATCCGTCAGCGTATCCATTATAGAAATGTGTTCAGAAAGAGTTTCATCGGTGACTATCCAGTAAGCGCTATGAGTTACCAGTCTCAACGCTGTAGCCTACAGAGAAAAAACAAACAAACAGTGGCTTACTGTTTCTTGAAGCAGCGTAGAATTACCAGACTGTTGGAAGATCATCAAATGTCAGTGTTTGTTCTATACTAATACTTGTACTAATGCTAATACTTGTACTAATTTACAGTTGGGCACAAAATTTACAGTTGGGGATGTAACATGCACAGGCGAAAGTTAGAACAATATGTTCTGAATTTATATCGTGAACAATTTAAAGGAGTATTGAATTCTCTATCATTCCATATACCTAATCAACAAAGGTAATTTAAATCGTAATGAAATAATGTGGATTCCATATTAGACTCTATATCACTGAACCTATAATATCACGTATTAATTACTACCCGACGAATAATTAGTCACTAACCGCTTTGAGTATGCTGCTTGTTGTTGCCGGCGAGCAGATGACCACGTATGCTCTTACTGTTAACCTGGTTTCCCTAATTTTATGGACAGCCGCATCCACGCTACGTTCAGTAGATGCTTCGTCAATGTACACGATAACTACTTTTCGAACGAACTCCTTGACATTCGTCTCATCTATGAACTTATGAATCATTGCGAAATCTGCGAATATCAGTACCTACTTTAGTTGTGTGAGAGAAAAGAAATAGAATTAAACATTTCTAACGTAAACCCAGTGAGAATTAAGGCCAAATGATATAGCCATTTGCGTATCAGAGTCAGACTATATAGTATTATGATTTTAAAACTACATTGAATTATATTGCCGCGAAATTGATTTGGACCATTCGGAGAATTCACCTTTAGTGTTGTCGTAGAACACGACCATGTCACTGATCTCATGTGTCTCGATTATGTCACGCAGGACGTCAGTGAGGAGCGCATGATCCGATGATACAGGAATATAGAACGCCGACTCGGTGACGTCACAGTTTGGAACTCGCGCGTACAAGAGTGGCAATTGTTGGTGGCCGACGGCTCTGCCAAGTGTTCGTAAATTTGCACAGTTCACAGAGGCGATGACAGCTATGGTGTTGTTCATCGGGAAAAGACATACTGAAAATGAAAAGAACTTCAAAAATAAAAGAGTACATCATAATTAGAATTAGATTTGCCAGATGCAGATTCCGACAGTCCCCACTACTCGGTTATTCGTAGAGATAGCTACACGATTCTATATCGTGGATTAAGCCGATGTATTTGTGAAGCCGTAACTCTAGTAGGTTGACATTGCCTTACGTTGTAAAGGGATGTATTTCGAGATCAATGATCCGGATTTTTGTAGAAAAGAAAAGCAAACTGAATAACTCTTCACGCGCAACGTTACTAACGCACACTTACTTACCGTTTCTGTCACTTTCAATGTCCTCCCAGTGATACGTTGACAACGTAAGTTGCGCGGCAGGCATCAATAAACTACTGTTGTTTATCTCACGGACTAGAGTAGTAGCTGCAGCTATAAGGTCTGCGGAGATATCTGAAGCTTCCACGACTACAACTGTTAATGAAAAGCAATACTTGTAAAACAACCCTAGCTATATTCTGTCTAGCGATTACGCTGTAATCTTCAATGGTTAGTTCATGCGTTATGGTAGAATGTACGAAAAATGTTATTCACGAATCTGCATTGTTGTCAGAATGGTATTTTCTTATCAGATGGATGCTTGGTTTGAACCAATTTCAAGATTTTAGGCATATGATATTTGTAGATTTTCCCATAGCAGCCATTGTTGCTTTGTTACGATGTGATATGGTTGTTATGTCGACCCTGTCGGGTGAATAACGAAAACCGTAGCAAAAACAACCTTAACAAGCATAGGTAACATGTTCAATCAAAATGTTTATTACTGATACTTATTAACAAAATCATTGTCGAGCACAAAACGAATACAATACTACATTTCAGTTATATAACACTTCTCAACAATGGTATTCATTTAAAAATTTCGCCTTACACAGTGACTATTCTTGCGTGCTTTTCTTTAATTGTACATCATAAATTATTATAATGGCAAATGATGTGTTTATCTACAAAATATTGTCAATTAATAATATTACGTATGTAAGGTATGTGTATAGTAAACTACAGTGCGTGTGGATAAGTAAATACACAGTGGAACGCAGTAAAACACCTTGCTGGAATTAATTAGCACCAAACCGCACCCTCGCATGCGTGGATAAATCTCGATCACGATTATACGATGACGACATGCGTTACGGTAGAATGTACGAAAAATGTTATTCACGAATCTGCATTGTCGTCAGAATGGTATTTTCTTATTAGATGGATTTTAACTCGTTATTTAACGTCGTGTCTCGTTAATCCTCATTAATCCGAATAACGAAGGAAGCTTAGGTCACTCAATGAGCGCCACACTCTTCCCACATTGCACGACGACCAAGGCTTAAGATTCTTAAAAGCTGACATCGGTGTATAGGAAGCAACCTCGCAGACGAGGAGATAAACTAGATCGGCGTATGGAAAACGCGGAAGCGTGCATTAGCCAAACCGATGCAGTCAATCATTATATAATATATATGTATATATATATATATGCGAACGTGAGGGAGAGTGTGTGCGCGCGTGCTTGTGCGTACCTGTGTGAGTGGGTATTTGTGTGTACGTGTGTGTGTGTGTGTGTGTGTGTGTGTGTGTGTGTGTGTGTGTGTGTGTGTTGTGTGTGTGTGTGTTGTGCGCGCGCGTGTGCGTGCGGAATGCGTGCGCGCGTTGCGTGTGCATGAGTGGGCGAGGGCGCGCATGTGTGTATGCATATATGTGTATGCGTGTATGTTTGTTTGAGTGTGTGTGTGTGTACTAGCAAAGTACCCGTTCTTCGGACAGTGGGAATTCATGAATGAGTGTATTAGTGTTGTAGCTCACCTAAGGATCAAGGGCTTCTTTGTAAAGTATGTTTTTGGTCTTTGTGTGCTGTGTGTGAATGTACATCGCCCTGGGTTTGCCTACTTGTAAGACGGGTTTTGGACGGTCTTTCTAAACAATATTTTTCTATCATTTTTTCATCAAAATATGTATCGGGGTTTAAAGTTGTAGAAAATTAACACATTGAATGATAGTTTTGGTGTTTTTGACTTTAAAAAAAAATTTTAAGTAAAAAAATTACGACCTACCCTTTAAAAAAATTGATTTGGAACCGTAAACAGACATTTTTTTTTTATTTTATGCCTAATATGGAATTATATCAGCAGTTTGTAATAATTGATATTATACTTGAAATCCCCAATATCAGCAATTTGTTTGGTCAGCAGTTAATAATTTCAGGAGCTTTCTGGTCAGCAGTTGATAATCACTGTCTGTGGGGCTGTCTGGGGGTCAACAATACATAATTCATGCAGGAATTGGTGACAATCGGCAGGAATAATGCCATTTATTGACTGGGCAAACATGGTCACTGTGTTTGTGTAGGCCTACGAACTATTATTGTTATTCAAGAAACAGGCATATTGATATTTCGGAAAACCTACCTTAAGTGCAGGAGATATATTAACGTGTATTAACTCAGCTAATACAGCTGTACCAACAAAGTTTTCGGCGTCAAACTCAACGGAACGTGAAGATATGTGGTGAGCACATTGTCGTGAAGAGCCTCATTATGGATTTTGGGATATCCCAGGGGAATCCCATGAGGGGAATTCCTTAAATTAAAAATAATTTAGCTAATAAAAATTCGCTGTTTCCCTTTTATAGTATACATTTTAAATTAAATATATTTTAAATATGCATATATTTAGGATGAAAGAAAGAAGTTGCGCGCCTGGGGAGAAACATATGTTTTATTTATTTCCGCGGCTGTCGAGTTTCGAACTGACGACCCCTAACGTATGACGCAAGCGTGTTACCACTGCGCCAGAGCGCAAGCTGGCAACGTCGTGTACTACATTGGTTAATGGTAGTCGCTTCGATACACTGGTATGCTATTTTTAGCCAGTAAAACGGCTTCAAATTCAACTTTATCCTGTTTTCATCATTGCAAAAGTGCGCCAATATTACTCTATGAGTGGTAATGCATCGTTTACAGTCAAGCAATTTCAAATCATGCGAGCAGATTCAGAGAACATAGCTCCACAGCGCAAGCTGTCAACAACACGTACTACATTGGTTAATGGTAGTGACGTCGATCGATATACCGGTATGGTATCGGTACACCAGTGTTAAATAAAACGGCTTCAAATTGCAACGATAATGCATCGTTTACAGTCAAGCAATTTCAAATCATGCGAGCAGATTCAGAGAACATAGCTAACAAAAAATGGGCTGTTTCCTTTTATAGTATATATATGCGTATATGTGTGTGTGTATATGTATTAATGTGCAAGCATGGCTACATTAGCATCACTTATTCATCAACGGCAATATTAACTTGATGGAAATGGTATCGCTAGTTTATCAATAGTGAGACTTAATTCACAAAATTGTT